GGGATGGTAGGGGGAAAACAATGGAGGGGGTAACAATGTTCAAGAGGAAGTGTACTCATTACCTCACTCAGGTAACTGTAACCCTCTGTATAGTATCTTTACAATTAAAAAAAAAAAAGCTTGGGGACAGTGGCCAAGGCCCTGAGTTCAAGCCCCTAAAACAGGCACACACACAATGAGAGCCAGACACTGGTGGCCCACGCCTGCTATCCTAGTTACACAGGAGGCTGAAATCTGAGGGTTGAGATTCAAAGCCAGCTTAGGTAGAAAAGTCCCATGAATGAGACTCTTATCTCCAATAAACCACTCAAGATTGGCTCAAAGTTGTAGAGTACTAGCCTTGAGCACAAAGAGGCTCAAGGACAGCGCCCAGGACCCAAGTTCAAGCCCCACAACTGACAAAAAAAAAAAAGAATGAGAAAGGTTAGGATGTGGCTCAGGTGGTAAGGCACCTGCAATGAATGAGTTCAAGTCCCTGTCTCAGTTGGGGGAAAAATGAGAGTGAATAATGAATGAATATTAACGTGATGGACGTATCTTAGACGTTTATGTAGTGACACTTCAAAATGACTCCGTTGTGCTGTTACGTTTTCTTGAAGGTCTATGCGTGCATGATGGTTTTCTTCTTGAGCAACATGATTGAGAACCAGTGTATGTCAACAGGGGCATTTGAGATCACTTTGAATGGTAGGTTCTGACTTTGTGATAACACTCACTCAAATGGTTTATAAAAACTGTCAGGCATGGGCTAAGAAGTTGGCTCAGTGGTAGAGCGCTTGCCTTGCATGCCTGAGGCCCTGGGTTCGATTCCTCAGCACCACATAAGCAAAAAGAAAAAAGCCGGAAGTGGTGCTGTGGCTCAAGTGGTAGAGCGCTAGCCTTGAGCTGAAGAGCTGAGGGACAGCGCCCAGGCCCAGAGTTCAGGCCCCATGACCAGACCCCCCAAAAAATATATATACTTAAAAAACAAAAACTGTCAGGCTTTTCTGTTTTTCAAAGGAGAAATATTCTTAAAGTTCATGTGTTATTTTGATGGACATTAAAAATTCACAAGACAAAGGAACGTAGAAGATTTAAGTCACTCTGTTGACCACCACTCCTGGCTTTCAGACTTCCTTAAAGAGTTGCTCTCCCCGGCCTCGTTTACCAGTTCTACTCACATGACCAGAGTAGCCTGCGTGAGGTCTCCTGAAGAGATGCTGGGCGCTCTTCCTGCGCTCAGGGAACAGCCGCGCCAGCACAGGCGCGTCACCGTCTCCGTGTCCACAACTCCCATGCGCCCCGCTTGCTCCTCTCTTCCTACCATCCTCTGTATATCCAGTTGCCCCCAAACCACACACACCATCTTTTCCCCACTCTCCATATTGGATTCTTTCTCTTCCCTTGCTCAGAAGCCCACGCCTGCTCCTCTTCACCTTCTCCATGCCCCTCCTGCCTCCTCATTCATTCTCTAAACTAGAGCCCTGAGCTAACAGTGTTCTTGTACACGTTTGAATGGACAAAATCAAAGCTGGGCACTGGTGGCTCACATCTGTAATCTCTGAGGATCAGGGTTCAAAGCCAGTCCAGGCAGGGAAGTCCATGAGATTCCTATCTCCAGTTAACCACAGAAAAAGCCAGAAGTAGCCGGGCGCTGGTGGCTCACGCCTGTAATCCTAGCTACTCAGGAGGCTGAGATCTGAGGGTCGCGATTCAAAGCCAGCCTGGGCAGGAGAGAAGGTGAGACACCTATCTCCAATAAACCACCAGAAAACCGGAAGTGGCACTGTAGCTCAAGTGGTAGAGCGCTCACCTTGAGCTGAAGAGCTGAGGGACAGTGCCCAGGCCCAGAGTTCAAGCCCCACAACCGACAAAAAAAGAAAAAGCCAGAAGTAGTGCTTTGGCTGAAGAAGTGTATGTCATGAAAATATATTTTGTTTGTTTGTTTGTTGCCAGTTGTTCAGCCTGATCTGGGCCTGGGCGCTGTCCCTCAGCTCTTCAGCTCAAGGCTAGTGCTCTACCACTTGAGCCACAGTGCCACTTCCAGCTTTTTCTGCTTATGTGGTGCTGAGGAATCGAACCCAGGGCCTCATGCATGCGAGGCAAGCACTCTACCACTGAGCTGCCTTCCCAGCTCATTCTCCGTGTGATTTTTGGACTCTGTCCTTGAGCTCCTTTTGCTCAAGGCTAGTGCTCTACCACTTGAGCCAAAGCACAACTTCTGGCTTTTTCTGTGATTAAGTGACTTTTCCTGCTACTAGCCTCCTGAGTAGCTAGGATTACAGGAGTAAGCCACTCTCTCGTGACTTCAAAGGAGTATTTTGTGGCATGTGTGCCATTACATAGAATTCACACTTAAGTTTTTGATTCGAGTTTGCTTCTGTTTTCGTGTTTGTGCTAGTGCTGGGGCTTACACTGGGACCCTGTGCACTATCCCTGAGCTGCTTCACTCAAGGCTGGCGCTCCACGCCTGGCTTAACTGGAGCTAAGCGTGCTCCAGGTTTGCCTGCCCTGGCTGGCTTTGAACCTGATCTCAGACCTGAGCCTCCTGAGGAGGTAGATTGTAGGCATGAGCCACGGGTGACCAGCCATCTTACGTTACATCAGTGAGAAAATCCACGGAATTTGTTACCTCTCATTATATTATATAAGTAATATTCCTGATTTTTGTCTCTTGCTCCATAGGGCCTAAAATATCTGACGTCTGGCTTCTTACAGAAAAATTGGCCTGCTCCAAAGAGAATGATAGTTTGTGTTGTGGTTCTGTTTTGGAGCAAGGTCTTGTGTGAAGACAGGCTGCTACCTCACTGGGACTTGCTGCCCCAGTGCCCTGTGTTCTGGGACTGCCGAGTACACTGCCCTGGCCAGTTAGATTTTATTTTAAGTGCAGATTTCATCTTTCCACTTCAGAGTCTCAGATTCATGTCGTGACTTGTGATGGTTTTAAAGGTAAATGCCAGACGGCAGTGAAGGTGGCCAGGGCCCTTCAGTGACTGCTGTGGCACGTCGGTTCTAGAGCCGCTTGTAAGATGTGGGTGGGGTGCCTTTTGTGTTTATAGACGTACCTGTGTGGTCTAAACTGGAGTCTGGTCACCTGCCCTCCATGCAGCAACTTGTTCAGATTCTTGATAATGAAATGAAGCTCAACGTGCATATGGACTCAATTCCACATCACCGATCGTAGCCCCGCCGAGCAGCCCCAGAAGCTCTCTTGTGAGTGACTTGATGGTGAAGACACCAGCTGTTTAACTTCCTCTCCAAGTGTTAGTAGACAGTGCGTCTGCCCTCCAGTTTCCAGCTTTCTGTTACAGGGATAGATGTACCCTTCACTCACAGTTACAAGTTTTATCAAGATTGCCTGGACCTGCCAAATAAAGGGTGTATTAAGTTAGTCTTGAGGGGCCAGGCGCCGGTGGCTGACTGAGGCCTGTCATCCCAGCCACTCAGGAAGCCGAGATCTGAGAATCACAGTTCAAATCCAGTCCAGCAGGAAAGTCTGTGACCACTCTTTATCTCCAGTGAACCACAGAAAACCAGAAGTGGCACTGTGACTCAAATGGTAGAGCGCTAGCCTTGAGCTGAAGAGCTGAGGGACAGCACCCAGGCCCTGAGTTCAAGCCCCACAACAGACCAAAAAAAGTTATTTTTTTGTCTTGAGGGTTTAATAATTTGACTATTACTTTTTTTTTTAATGGTCATAGGGCTTGAACACATGGCCTGGGCTCTGTCTTTGAGCTCTTCAGCTCAAGGCCAGCACTCTACCACTTTGAGTCACAGTTCCACTTCTGGTTTTCTGGTGGTTCATTGGAGATAGGATTCTCATGGGCTTTCTCCTGCCTAGGCTGGCTTCAAAGCACGATCCTCAGATCTCAGCCTCCTGAGCAGCTAGGATGACAGGTTAAGACTGAGGGTTGGTTAGAGGTTGGCAGATTGTTCTCAGTTCTTTTCTGATGGGTGAGTTGACTTTGTAGGGTTACTTATGCGAGTGCGGTTGAAACGAACCATCCTTCTTTTCCGTGTGTCTTTCAGACATGAAGGGATTTGCCAGAGCAGCGTGGCTGGCACCATGAAGGTCTGCACCGAAGACACACGCTGTTGGTGCAGACCAGACGCCTGCGGCCTCGCTGGACCTCCTGGGAAACCTCACTGCAGGAGGGCTTCTCGGGTCTGTGCGCATTCGTAGAGTGCAATAATACTGCATAGCCTCCTCCCAAGTTCACCCAGCTAATAATCTCTTTTGCGTGTGGTCATTACTACTGTAATTTTTTTCTTAGTCATATTTGAAAAGGCAGGAAATTGAGTTACAATTTGATTTTCTTCAAGATGTGTTAAATTTGTTGTACTTTTATATGATTTTCATTTTTTATAGTTTAAAGTCAATCGTTGTAAGAGTTCATCAGATATGTCTTAATTATTTGGTCATGTCCAATTTATGGTTTTCAAAATACTCCAGATTGTGAACATGCATTTACAAGATTATGGGGGGGAATTCAGTATCCAGAATGCTCTACCAGTTTGTGTGTGTGTGTGCATGCGTGTGTGCTTTTGTGTGTGTGTGTGAGAGAGAGAGGGGGAGGGTGTGATTATCAAAGAACTACGAGACAAACTGCTTTTTAAACCCTGTTGTGTAGTTCACGTGTCTTGCCTTGACTAATAAATTGACTAACTGGGCCTTTATATTTAACTGAATAAAAAACTAAGTAGATGTCGGTGAAGTGAAAAGGTTACATTTTATTGCTCTGTACTTAAAATGCCTGTTTTTGACTTAGACGTAATCTCATAGGGACGCTTGAGAGTCACACGGAGCAGGTTAACTTAACAGCGTTAGGATTGCTGAGACTCACCTCATTAAATAAAGTTCAGTTGAATCTCTTTACAGCATTGATCTGTCTAGTAACCCACACCCTTTACCAGAGTTTCACTGTATTGAAAAGTGACGTCGGAAAGATTTAATACTTTGTGCTACTCCAGACTTCTAAAGGCTCTCTTAAGGAACTTGAATGAAAGACCTTGAAGTTGATCGACCTTAGGGATGATGGACAGAGCTGGGCACCCCCTGTGAGGTCCCCGGTCGGCAGCAGCAATGGCGCCGGTGCGGGGAGCCAGAGGAAAGCCAGCCGGGTGAGCGGGGGGGGGGGGGCCTGGGTGTCCAGTGCTCTGAAACCCTGTGGCAACGCAGCCCAGGACCTGGCGCCTCCGCCTGAGCCTGCCAGGCCCTGCGGGCAGCCCGCAGGCAGGCAGTGACCCGTCAAGTACATGCAGAACGTTCCCCAGGATGGTAAGTGTTTCACACAGTGCTGTTTAATCTGAAGTCCCTGCAGATGGCATCTCCCAGGTTGCTGTGTTTCTCACTCCAAACTCCGCACCCTCCGCAGTTGGACATTCTGGTTAACGAGGGCACTGCTGCCTCTGTGGTACAGTTGCTCCCCACGTACAGCCCTCACGGGCTGCTCCATGCGTGGGCCTTGTGTGTTGGCTAGAACTTGACAGTTCAAAATCTGCGAAACCCAGGATTGAAACCTGAGGAGTGGCCTCCCTCTTAGGTCAGGTCTCTTGTGCTTCAGAGAGTAGCTCTGGTGGTTTACACACTGCTAACACTCAGCCTCTTTCCTGTCACCCCTCTCTGTTTTGTGTGATGCTTAGCCATATTTAAATCTATAATTTGTTGGTCTTGACCTCTGGGCCTGTGTGCCTCAGCTCTTCAGCTCCAGGTAAGCGCTCTACCACTTGGGCCACAGAGCCACCTCCCATTTTCTGCTGGTTTATTGGAGATGAGTCTCACAGACTTTCCTGCCTGGGCTGGCTTTGAACCGCGATCCTCAGCTCTCAGCCTCATGAGTAGCTGGGATGACAGGTGTGAGCCTCTGGCACCTGGCCCATACCCAAATTTATGAGTTGCTTATAAGCTGGTGTGGCTGTGGGTTCTGTGACTGTGTGCACTATTAGAGCAGGCAGGTTGGCCAGCTACTGGAATTTGCCGGTTATTTTTGTAGACAAAGTTGTTAAAACAATAAAAAGCAACGTTGGTGAAACAGTTTATACCTCAGTGTAGGACTGTGGGCAGATAATACTGCTTTCTGTGATGAATGGCACTCATTTTTAAGGTAGCAGCTAGCTCATCAGTCCATGGCTATTAAAATATAGTTGTAGTCCAGTGATGTTTTACTGTGAAAATATAGGGGTTGGAGGCATGGCTCCATTGGTAGAGACTAGCTAGTGGGCCAGAGTGTCAGGTACCAAGTTCAAGTCCTGCTCTCCCACCTAAACAAAAAACAAAAACAACTAAGCTGGATGCCTGTCATCCTACCTATTCAGGAGGCTGACATCTGAGGATCATGGTCCAAACCAGCCTGGGCAGGAAAGTCCATGAGACTTTTCTCCAGTGAATGACAGAAACAAACCAGAAAGTGATGCTGTGGCCCAAGTGATAGAGCGCTCGCCTTGAGCAAAAAGGAGCTCAGGGACAGCGCCCAGGCCCAGAGTTTGAGCCCCGGGACTAGCAAAAAATGTATATATAACGGGCCTAGTGAGTGTTCTTTCTTCCTCTGAGTATTTATGGTTTCGGGCCTTGAGTGGTTCACATCCTCCCATTGCCAGAAGTCACAGTTTTGAATAGTTAGTAGAATTTCTCCACATGGTTTGATATTCTAAAGCTTTTTTAAATGTCTCCAGTAAAACATGAGGAATTGGCTGGGCGCCGGTGGCTCATGCCTGTAATCGTAGCTACTCAGGAGGCTGAGATCTGAGGATCACGGTTCAAAGCCAACCCTAGCAGGAAAGTCCGTGAGACTCTTATCTCCAATAAACCACTAGTAAAACCGGAAGTGGCGCTGTGGCTCAAGTGGTAGAGCGCTCGCCTTGAGCTGAAGAGCTGAGGGACAGCGCCCAGGCCCAGAGTTCAGGCCCCACGACCTGACCCAAAAAAAAAAATTGGCTTATTAAAAAACAGTCTGGCATTGTGCAAATTTTAACAGGCGCATTTATCACTGGCGCTCACGCCATCCGCACTTTAAAAATTCACACACAGATGGAAAGTCGGCCAGTACCTGATTCTGTCAGTCATCTCGGGTATCTTGGCCCCGCTGGGGTGGGGGTAGCACTCAGAGCCCTGCCTGACGGGGAGGAGAGAGGGCTTGTGGGCACGGCCCTGCTCTCCGCGCGGGCGGGCGCCTGGCCAGCGGGCACGGAGGGAGCGCCGTGGGCTCTGCCGCGGCTCCCACTGTAAGGTCAGCACTGGGCCTTGGTTGACCAGCTGCAAGTTGTTGGGCAGGAAATTGCGCTGGTTATCCCGCCCCCGAGCTTTGAAAGCGAACCAACGGAGGGGAAGCGTGCAGCGCGCTCACTGATTGGCTGGTGGTGATGGCACTGGGCTTGAACTCGGGCCTGAGGGCTATGCTCAGCTGTTGCTCATGGCTGACGCCCCTCCCCTGGCGTCTTGCTGGTGTATTGGTAGTAGTCTGAGGAGTTGTTTGCCCCGGCTGGAGCTCAGCCTCCGAGTACCGAGGATTACAGGTAAGAGCCAACAATGGCCCGGCTTTGTTTGTGGTAATTGGGGCTGGAACCTTGGCCTTCTGCTTGGTTAGCCAGGCAAGCACTCGGCCTCTGGAGACAGACTCGGCCCTTCGCACGTCCGTCTGGTCTTCAAACCTGCTTTGGCGCTGCCCTCGGTGACCCCTCCTCTGACTCCTGCGTGGCCAGCATTCCTGGCCTTGAGTTTCATCTTTTAACTGCCATGAAATCTTGGGGTGAGAACTTGTCAAACACTAAAATGTGTGATGACAACTGCCGCTCCCTTTGGTTTTCCCCTTGCGTTTGTCACGGTTGGACGTGGCTCTGCTGTCCCCTCACTCCCGAGGGTCTGTGCCTGCCTGTCCTGCTCTACATTCGTGATGGATGCATGATGCCCGGGAGCAGTGTGTCACTCCTCCAGGACACCACAGTCCCCCTCGGAGCCCGGTCAGGGTCCCTGCTGGCCACGGCCCCCTCACAGCCCGGCCAGGGAGGGCTCCCTGCTGGCCCGAGGGCTTGGGCGAGGCTAGGCCTGAGCCTGCGTTTGTTGGGTCACAGCCTAGGCCTTGTGCTTGTGTCGTCAGTCGGATCACCTGAGTCCATCAACACTGCCTTTTCCGTGTCTGAGAGCGTTGCTGGAATTCTGACGGATTGTGTTTGGTAGTTCGCCATTTTCACAGTACCGAGTCTGCCGGTGCATAGATGTGCAATGTCTTTCCGTCTTCTGCAGTTTCAATAGTTGTAACAGAGGAGTTTGAACACCTTGGTGGCTTTTGTTTTGTTTGGTGTCGTGTTTGGTTTTTGAGGCTATGGTGAATAGGATTGCTTTCTGGATTTCTCTTGTCAGCAGGCTAAAGCAGGGTATTTCAGATTCCTGTGAGAAATGAGTGACATTTGCTCTATGAATGTGTGTAACTTGGGCATCTTTTTTTTTTTCTTGGGTCCGGTCATGGGGCCTGAACTCTGGGCCTGGGCGCTGTCCCTCAGCTCTTCAGCTCAAGGCTAGCGCTCTACCACTTGAGCCACAGTACCACTTCCAGTTTTTTTCTTTTTGCTTATGTGGTGCTGAGGAATTGAACTCAGGGCCTCAGGCATGCAAGGCGAGCGCTCTACCCCTGAGCCACCTTCCCAGCCCCTTGGGCATCTTTCATTAGAGGTTATCTCACCCCAAAATCAGCAATTACATTAGCCCTCGGGAAATGCATTTTGAAAATTATCTTACTCCACACCCTGTTTTATTTTCTTCTTTATCACCTGCTTTAAAACTCTTTTTATATGTGTTGAAATGTTCCTTATTTCATTTCTGGATACAGGACTGTCTTGGAGAGAAATAAAATAGTGACAGAATAAAATTAGTTGACGTGAAACATACTTTTCAGATACTCTAATATACTTCCTAATACAGTACACTTCTGTGTTTTGAAAAAGTATTATAGCTGGAGACTGGTGGCTCAGGCCTGTCATCCTAGCTACTCAGGAGGCTGAGATCTGAGGATCATGGTTCAAAGCCAGCCCAGACAGGAGAGACTGTGAGACTCTTATCTCCAATAAACCACTAGAAAACCGGGAGTGGCGCTGTGGTTCAAGTGGTAGAGTGCTTGCCTTGAGCTGAAGAGCTGAGCAACAGCGCCCAGGCCCAGAGTTCAGGCCCCACGACCGACAAAAAAAAAGGTATTATAATAAAAGTATAACATTGTTCTCAAATATGTAGCTGGTATTCCAGATCTTACCAATTTTATTAAATATATCCATTGAAAGCCTGGCAATCCATGCACATGGTTACTTTGATCAAATTTATTCTTTCTGGTTCCCTCTTGAGTTCATTTTAAATGTACAAAATGTGTTTTTAAAGTGTAAAGTAGCACATTTCTTGGTTTTCCTGGTCATTTGGTGCATGCGCACGCGCGTGTGTGTGTGTGCGCACGTGCGTGTGTATATGTGTGCGCGCGCGTACGTGTGCGTGTGTGAGCGTGCGTGTGTGTGTGTGCGTGTGTGTGTGCGCGCACGCATGTGCCTGTCCTGGGGCTGAGCTCAGGGCCTGGCGCTGTCCCTGAGCTTTTCACTCAAGGTGGACGCTCCACCACTTGAGCCACTGCTCCGCTTTCTGGTGTTTCATTGGAGATATGAGAGTCTCATGGACTGGGCTGGCTTTGCACCTGACCCTCAGAGAGCCTGCTGAGTGGCCATGGACTGGGCTGGCTTTGCACCTGACCCTCAGAGAGCCTGCTGAGTGGCCATGGACTGGGCTGGCTTTGCACCTGACCCTCAGAGAGCCTGCTGAGTGGCCATGGAGTGGGCTGGCTTTGCACCTGACCCTCAGAGAGCCTGCTGAGTGGCCATGGAGTGGGCTGGCTTTGCACCTGACCCTCAGAGAGCCTGCTGAGTGGCCATGGACTGGCTGGCTTTGCACCTGACCCTCAGAGAGCCTGCTGAGTGGCCATGGACTGGGCTGGCTTTGCACCTGACCCTCAGAGAGCCTGCTGAGTGGCCATGGAGTGGGCTGGCTTTGCACCTGACCCTCAGAGAGCCTGCTGAGTGGCCATGGAGTGGGCTGGCTTTGCACCTGACCCTCAGCCTGCTGAGTGGCCAGGGTGACTGGCGTGACCCCCCCCCCTCCCGCCCCAGTGTGACCACAGCGACCCTGGCGCCTGTTCACAGCTTTTCGTTTATTATGTCTGCAATGGTGGTCAGGCTGTCCTCCTGCAAGCCGGCGGAGCGGCACAGGGCCGTCAGTTTGAGGCACAGTGAGGAGAGGTAGGAGGGCTGGGTCACCTTCTCCTGCACGCAGCTGGAGGGGAAGCTGGCGAAGGTCTGCAGCCGGTGGAGCAGGCGGCGGATCTTGATCAGGCTGGCCAGCAGCAGCAGGTCGCCCTCGCTCAGGTGCAGCTGAGAGGGGATGTCCCGGGGCCAGAGCATCTGCCATCGGAGGGGGAGGAGTGGGGCGGGGGCCGGGCCCACCAACACCCGCGCCCCAGCCCTCCCCTGCGGGCCCTGGGCCCGGCTCCCCTCCGCCTCAGTCCCCCTGACCCAGGTCCTGCCCGGTGAGCTCTGCCTTTCCAGCCACCTGGGGGGGGGAGGGGCGGTCCGTGTGGCTCCCCCGTCCATCCGTCCCCCTGTCAAACAGTGGCCCACCCGCTGCGTAAGCACCAAGGGCGCTGAGAATGCGGTGGTCATATTAACCACTGTTTTATGGTTAAAATAGGAAAGGAGAGTGGAGGAGGGGGGCTGGGAAGTCTGCTTCTGCTCCGTTATGTTCTCCAGGACATCTCTTTAGACATCCAAACCAAGGTTTGGAGATGCCCCGGATAGAGCCTGGAGCTCCTGAGCCAGTCGTGCTTCTAGAAGGACCGAGGCTTGTTGAGCCCAGTCCTGGGTACTCAGGAGCGGGAAGGGAGGTGAGGACGAGGCCCTGAGAGGTGCAGGGAACTCTCAAAGGAGGGGGGAGGGGGGAGGGGGCCCCCCGGGGAACGCGGGTCAGTGCTGGTCTGCTGTAGCACAAATAAAACAGCGTGGGTGAGATATTACATAGAAACTTGAACATGCAATGGATTTGCAATGTGGTTTAAAATACGGACATGAAAAAAATCGTTAACATCTGCCCTGTGGGGAACAGAGCCAGCAGAAATGGCCTCTCCAGCAGGACCCCGCCCCAGCCTGCTGGCCGAGCTCTGCCGGGGTCTGTGCCCCTGTGCCTCCAGCCACGCCTGCCCAGGGCTTTTCCCAGCCTGGTGAGGACCAGGACCCCTGACCCCTGACCCCCTGGCCCGCCTGCTTCCTCGCTCCACGCCCAGCCTCTCACCTCTTACTGCTGGGAGCTCTTTAAACTACCCTTTTTTCATTTTAATGTACCTTCACTTTGGTTCCAACACTGATGCTGGCTTGCTGGCCCATGGCTAGGAACGTGATGGAAATCTTGTCTTGTCCTAAGATGCGGATTCCGACGTGATGGTTCAGAGCCAGGAAGACGGGCTTGAATGTGACGAAGGAGGAGGCCGCCCTGGTCCTGGACCAGTTCCAGGCTCTGACTCGGTTTCCTGCGGGGTCTGAGCACTGGCCTCCCAAGAGGTTGATGTAAACCCTGGAAGGAGACGGAAAACCCCCGTGACAAGCTCAGACGCGGACCGTGAATTGCAGGACAGGCGGGCAGAGTCTAGTTCCCAGGATCCAAGAGTGGATGGACAGACCTTGGGTGGGGCGGGCGTCTGGAAGGGGACCTGGCAGAGGGGAGGCTGCAGTGCAGCCCGGTGGGTGGGTGCGTTTCGGGGGGCCATCCAGGTCGGCGGGGCGTAAGAGCTGCAGGAATGTACCCGAAAGCGCAGCACTGCCCTGGGTCTGGGAGGGAGTTGCAGCTTCGTGAGTGCAGGTGCAGAGCCCTGGCCACCACGGTGTGGTGGACGGGTGTCCCCACCTCCCCGCCGGGGTCTCGTACAGACACTGTGCTCCAGGAGCACCTCAGGGAGCTGCGGGCCCGCGGGGAGCTGGACTTCCCAATGGGATGGCCGGCAAGGCCGCGGGGACCAGCGACCTGTCCAATGCCAAGCTCGGCTGTGGGACGGAGGCTCTGAGTTAGGGCTGTGGCTCTGAGCCGGGGCTGGGGCTCTGAGCCGAGGGTGTGGGTCTGAGCCGAGGGTGTGGGTCTGAGCCGAGGGTGTGGGTCTGAGCCGGGGCTGTGGCCCTGAGCTGGGGCTCTGGGTCTGAGGCTGTGGGTCTGAGCTGGGGCTGTGGGTCTGAGCCTGGGCTGTGGGATGGGGCTCTGTGAATCCGATTGTTTGTACCCTGACACCAGGGTAGGAACTGTCCCAGCCCCCCTTTATGTACCACAGAGTTACTACTGAACCCTGAGAGATCACTGACATTTCCACTCTACATAGTGGTAATGGTGACCGCTGCTTGGGACTAAAGACTCAAACAGCTCACTGTATCCAAACTTTCATCAGTGTCTAAACTTCGCCAATGATGGAGAGTTTCGCAAGATGAGATAGGAAGGAAGGAAGGAAATTTCTTTCTTTTTTTTTTGTTTGTTTGGTCGGTCGTGGGTCTTGAACTCTGGTCCTGGATGCTGCCCCTCAGCTCTTCAGCTCAAGGTGAGTGCTCTACTGCTTGAGCCACAGCACCAGTTCCAGTTTTCTAGTGGTTTATTGGAGATAAGCGTCTCAGAGAGTTTCCTGCCCGGGCTGGCTTTGAACCGCGATCCTCAGATCTCAGCCTCCTGAGAGGCTAAGATGACAGGCGTGAGCCACACCGGCTCCTCACTCTTTAAGAAGGAAAAGCTAAGCAGGACAAGAAACGTACGGAGGTGGCCGCGAGGGTGAGGGACGGAACCTACCAGACATTGCCGTTGGGGTGGATGCAGGAGCCTCTGCCCGAGGAGTCGAGCACAGCCAGGATGGCGGGGGCCACGGCTGCGTCTGCCTGGACGATGCAGGTGAAGCCGCTGGTCCTGCTGGGTAGCCGGAGGATGGCCAGGTTCCCCGACGGGTAGCTGAGGTCAGATAAGGGCCAGGGAGCCGTTTGTTGTTGGTGGTGGTAGTGGTCATGGGCCTTGAACTCAGGGCCTGGGCGCTGTCCCTCAGCTCTTCAGCTCAAGGCGAGCGCTCTACCATGTGAGCCACAGCACCACTTCCGGTTTTCTGGTGGTTTATTGGAGATAAGAGTCTCACGGACTTTCCTGCCCGGGCTGTCTTTGAACCGCAATCCTCAGCCTCCTGAGTGGCTGGGATGACCGGCGTGAGCCGCCGGCGCAGCTCAGGGAGTGGCTTTGGTGATCTTGAGGAGCGAGTTCCATGTATGAGAGCTCACTGACATCACCTTCGGGAAATGGGTTTTATTCTTCAGACGTGAACCCAAATGTGTCTTTGAGGCCTGGGGTGCCTCAAAGTGCCCGTGCCAGGAGAGGGGACCTCGTGGCAGACGGGTGCCACTCGGTGGATTTAACCTCTCAAAATTTACCTATGAGCAGAACGGCGAGAAATGAAAACCAACCCGCTCTGCAGACACAGACACCGGTGACAGACTCGCTAAACTTCCAGCAGGTATTAGATGCTGCCCGCCTCTGTCGGGCAGTGGGGTGATTCCTGCCCTCGTTTCTCTTTGGGGGAGGAAAGGATACAATATCTGTGTGGTTCCGTCTGGAAACGAGGTCAGGAACTTGTTTCCCTGCTTGTAATATTTTTCCAGGAACTCATTCTTCACCACCTGCGTCCCGGGAAAGAACGGAGCACTCAGCCACGGCCGGCATCGCGCACGGGCTGGCCTCTGCACAGTGCTTCTGTCTGTCTGTCATTTACCTATATCTGTCACCTACCTCCCTAACCATCATCTACCTATTTGAAACACTGGCTTTGCTACATAGCCTAGGCTGGTCTCCATTCACCATCTTCAGAGAGCTGAGATTACAGGTGTGTATCACCACCCCCGCCCAAGAAGGTATCATCATTGATACCTTCGGCAGAGGACGGTCCACGGCAACCCGAATCCCTGCAGGGCAACCTGCTCACACTTGGAGGATGGAAACCTGCCCTTGGGTATCTGAGGCTTCCACTTCATACACAAAACCAAAGGCGATGCAGACCAGTCTCGGCCCCACGGTGGCATTCTACATCCCGAACCAGAGAACCAGACACTGTAAAGGGTGGATGTTACCACACGCAAACCTGACTTCAGTAACCTGACTGAACGGGGAAGCTCGGCAGAGGGGACGTGTACAGCGTGGCGCGATGTACTAACAGACGGGAGCTATGCGTGAGCACTGACGTTCCCGGCTGCGTTTAATTTCGGGTACTTCGTGTTCCGGGTGTGTCTAGAGAATGCTGGGGTACTAGCAATGTCTTGGGAGAGGGAAGGCGGGTGCAGACTTGTGGTGATTTTCCTCTCCTTCATTTTCTGAGACGTTCACGTGCTCTTTAGTGTGCACTGATACTAAAGTGAAATACTTGAACCAGAACATAGGTAAGACAAAAAAATGCAGAACAGTTAGAAGGCGGCCGGGCACCGGCAGCTCACGCCTGCAATCCTAGCCACTCAGGAGGCTGAACCAAGAAAGGGAGGAAGTAGAAAGACCGAGTCTGTGTGTGTGTGTGTGCACATGCGTGTGCGCACACCAAGGTCTTGCCCTCTTGCCTAGCTTTTTTCCACTCAATGCTGGCGTTCTACCGCCTGAGCCACACCTCCACTGTTGTACGCTCCGATCTCAGCCTCCTGAGTAGCTGGGACTGTAGACCTGAGCCTCGCTGCCTGGCGCTTTTCTCAAATAGGGAATGACTGTAGCCCAGGCTGGCCTTGAAGAGCGCAGGGCCCCCCGCTCACGCCCCTGTCCAGACTGCTGGGGTACAGGCCTGCCCGGCCCCCGGCCCACCCAACCCTGCAACTATTCTTCTGACAAACACGTGTCACCTGAACAAGCTGGGTGTTTTTTAATGGCAAAAAGAAAAAAAAAATCCAAGTTAATTACCTTTCCACATGCTTTCTTGGAGTCACAACAAATGACAGACATCTTGCAGTTTCTTACATAAAAATCATACAAGTCTTCCATTGGCTTTTTTTCTGGCACGTCCATGGAAAGTTGGTAAGAAATTGTCTTTATGTGCTTTGCCTCTAGTGGGAAAAGAATCGCGTGCGTGTGAATGTTTTAAGTTTTCTGAGACCTTTTTAAATTAACTCTCAAACCCATTATAAATGCATTGATTTGTCAGACAACTTGCGTTCAATTTGTGCCGGGTCCAGGGCTAGAACTCAGGGCCTGGGTGTTGTCCCTGAACTTTTTCACTCAAGGCTAGTGCTCTACCACTTGAGCCACGGCTCCACTTCTGGCTTTTTTTCAGTTAATTAGAGATAAGAGTCCCATGGACTTTCCTGCCGGGGCTGGCTTAGAACCACGATCCTCAGATCTCAGCCTCCTGAGCTGGGATGACAAGCCCTTCATCAAATTAGTGAGCGGTTCTTCTGTTAAAAACGTTCTTTTGGTTTAAAAAGAAAAAAAGTCCAAAAAAAGAAAAACCATTTTTATTAAGTGGGATTTTCTGGGCTGTAGTTCCTGTAAGAAACAACTGACTGCCAAGAAACGTTTTAGACCATCAGGTTGGCCAGAGCGCATATTCTCTAGCATCTTTGCTAGCTCCGGGGAGAGCAGCACACACGGGGCTTGGGATGGAAAGGCAGCCCGGCGGGGGCCCTCAAGCCCAGGGGGTACACGTAGACCCCCACACCCCGGCTGGGAAACGAGATGGAGCGTGCCACCCAGGGCCGGGAGTCAGGCTCAGCTCCCTGGGGCTGGGCCTGTGCGGGAGGCTGGGCGCGTGCACACGTGTCCGTGAACAGTGAGCTGAGAACCTCCGGGACCCTCTGACAGCCGTGTCTGCGACTCTCAGACGGCTGAGCCCTGCGGTGCAGCCACTCACCTTCTTCTGAGAAGTTGCTGGGCTCACTGGTGATGATTGCAAAATGCCTGGCCAGCTGGCGCTCCTGTTTCCTGTAAAGCCAGAGAGGGTATGTGCAAGTCTGAAGGGAGGCTGAGCTCTCAAGCAGCATACTGTAGGTTCCTGCTCAGTGGCTATCCATTGCTTTGTTCTTTTTTTGGTCAGTCATGGGGCTTGAACTCAGGCTTTTCAGCTCACGGCAAGCGCTCTACAACTTTGAGCCACAGCGCCACTTCCGGTTTCCTGGTGGTTCATTGGAGATAAGGCTCATGGACTTTCCTGCCCAGGCTGGCTTTGAACCGCGATCCTCAGATCTCAGCCTCCCGAGTAGCTGGGGTGACAGGTGTGAGCCTCTGGTGCCCGGCTCCATTGCTGTTTTTAGCTGGTTTATTTAATGGGTCTCCACCCAGCTCACTGGGCACACCTCCTCCACATAGGAACTGTGAATCGCCTTGACAATTGATCATTGGTACGATTCTGGGATTGTCCCTCTGTCCCGAGCTGTGTCTGCCCCTCCGCCCCCGGGAGCCCTGGAATCTTGACTTCCTCCAGAAATTCCGTATCTCTACCCAGTGGGTCTGTTTGTTTACAGAGAACACATGGTCATAATTGCGTATTTGGGTTTTTTTTTTGGGGGGGGGTCCAGTCGTGGGCCTGAACTCTGGGCCTGGGTGCTGTCCCTCAGCTCTTCAGCTCAAGGCTAGCGCTCTACCACTTGAGCCACAGCACCACTTCCGGCTTCTTTTTTCTTATGTGGTGCTGAGGAATCGAACCCAGGGCCTCAGGCATGCAAGGCAAGCGCTCTACCACTGAGCCACCTTCCCAGCCCCATAATTGCGTGTTTGGAAAACCCTCCAGGGAAGTGGGCCTGTTAGGACTGGCCGGGCGGCTCACCTCCGCTTGGCCTCCTCCCCGGCCGGCCGGGCGGCTCACCTCCACCAGGCCTCCTCCCCGGCCGGCTGGGCGGCTCACCTCCGCTTGGCCTCCTCCCCGGTCGGCCGGGCGGCTCACCTCCACTTAGCCTCCTCCCCGGCTGGCCGGGCGGCTCACCTCCACCCGGCCTCCTCCCCGGCCAGCCGGGCGGCTCACCTCCACTTGGCCTCCTCCCCAGTCGGCCGGGCGGCTCACCTCCACTCGGCCTCCTCCCCGGCCGGCCGGGCGGCTCACCTCCTCACGGCCTCCTCCCCGGCCGGCCGGGCGGCTCACCTCCTCACAGCCTCCTCCCCGGCCGGCCGGGCGGCTCACCTCCTCACGGCCTCCTCCCTGTCGGGACCTGCTGGGCGGCTCACCTCCACATGGCCTTCTCCCTGGCCTTCATCCTCTCCATCTCGCTGCCGTGTGCTGCGTGAGGCTTGATGCTGATCAACTCCACCGAAGGGATTTTTACCGTTTGGCTCTCCTCGTGGATGTAGTTGACCAGGTTCTGGAAGTGGAGGCAGCAGTACCCCTGAAAGGCAGAGAGGCTGCCTCACCTGTGCGGCCGGGGCGCCCGCGGGGCTCACGATGGAGGTCGCCTGTCTACCTTGGCCCTCCAGATCCTGCCTGTGGTCCCTCTCACTTTTCCCCATGTATTACTTTTTGCCAGTCCTGAGGCTTGAACTCAGGGCCTGAGCTGCTTCTGCTCAAGGCGAGCGCTCTAACTCTTGAGCCACAGCGCCACTTCCGGCGTTTCCTGTGTAGGCGATACCGAGGAATCGAGCCCAGGGCGGCGTGTGCGAGGTGAGCCACACTCCCAGGCTGCTGCCACCTCCTCGATTCTGGGGTTTGAGCGTGGGGCCTTGTGCGTGAACGTCCGGGCAGGCTCTATCAGGACCCCCGCCGCCAGCCCCCCTTGCTTTTGTTGATTTTCAAATAAGGTCTCCCATTCCCCCCTGGGCCCGCGTGAACTTGGACCCTCCGGTTTACACCCCAGGGCCCACCACGCTCGGGCTGACGGGCCCCACACTCGCTGTTGTCTCTGTTTGTCTAGGGACTGTACCAGGGCTTGAACTCAGGACCTAGCACTTGGCTTTTTCTGCTCAAGTCTGGTGCTCTACCCCTTGAGGACACCTCCATGTCCAGCTTTTGCTGGCTATTGAGATTCTCTCAGGTCTCTGCCTGCGCCACCCTTGAACCCCCTCGGTCCTCAGACCTCAGCTTCCCAAGCGCTGGTGCCCGGCGCTGCGGCATGGTTTTCCTTCCTAGCTGTGACTTGCGCTTCCCAGGTATAGTTTCTTTGTAAGGGGCGGAAAGGGGCAGGAGAGAATACTGCGTGTTCAGAGGTTGCTTGCCTGCTTGTAGCACTCACATGTTCTTTGGGTTTGGAGCCGAAATCCGTGTAGGAAAAAAATGCCTGAAGGTCAGCACCACAGAATTCGCAGCGGAGCAACTGCTCCTCCTCTTCTTCCTGCTGGGAGGGCAGTGGAGGTGAACTGGCGGGGCCCGGGAGGGTCAGGCCGGCCGGCGGGGGCCCTGGGCCGGGAGGAGGCGGGCCCGAAACCCTCCAGCGGCGCTGGCCTGTCAGACCTTAGCCAGCTGGGCCAGGAAGGTCTCCGGCCCAAGGTGGTGTTTTGAGCACCTCACCTGGGTCTGGTGCAGTCTGCAGAACAGAGTCCCTCCCAGGCTGTGGGGTAAGAAGGAAGCGTGGCCGTGGTGGAGGGGGTCCTGGGGGCAGGGTCTGCGGTGAGTAACTGAGTCTGTGAGTAACAGACACAGGCCTGGGGTGGGGGGGTCAGAAGGTCACGGTCTGGGCTGGCCTGGCAAAGACCCGGACCCCATCTGAGAAACAACACGGAAAGGGTGCAGGGGCCCAGGGGTGTAGCGCCTGCAAAGCGGACCTGGCTCTAATCCCAGTTGTGTGAGAGAGGAGAGGAAGAGGAAGGGAAAAGAGGAAGGAAGAGGGAGGGAATCCGACGCTGACGTGGTAACTGCTAGTTAGGAAAAGCCGGCGCCGGTGGCTACTCACGAGGCTGAGACCTGAGGATCACGGTTCAAAGCCAGCCCTGTGAGACTCATCTCCATAAGTTATTACAAAAAAGCTGGAAGTGATGCTGTGGCTCCCGTGGTAGCCTTGAGCAAAAGCAGCTTAGGGACAGAGAGCCCCCAGGCCCTGAGTTCAAGCCCCAGGACTGGCAAAAAGAAAGAAAAGTAATGGGAAGAAAAGACCTTGCTTTGCTGCGTAGGCCGCAGTGGGCGCTGGCTGACCTCCGGGGCCTGGCCGGGCCCGAGCCCCTCCACTGGGAGAAGCAAGCAGAAGCGTGTGGGCAGCGGACGCCAGGCCCAGGGTTGGGGTGGTGCCTGCCGCGGCCCAGTGCAGACCCGGCCCTTCACCTCCACAACCTGGAATTCCCGCAGGGGCCGTCGCCGCGGGCAGTGCCCGGTACGAACTGCGCCTGTATCCTGTTCACTCTGCCTCTGATACCATGTCGGGTTTGTCGGGGATTTTGTCAGTGGTGGGGCTTGAACTCTGGGCCTGGGCGCTGTCCCTCAGCTCAAGGCGAGTGCTCTACCACTTGAGCCACAGCGCCACTTCTGGTTTTCTGGTGGTTCATTGGAGATCAGAGTCTCATAGACTTTCCTGCCCTGGCTGGCTTTGAACCGCAATCCTCAGCTCTCGGCCTCCTGAGCCGCCGGTGCCCGGCTCTTCGACGTCGTTTTCACAGCAGTAACTGAAAGGCTGGGGTGCGGCTTGGTGGCACATCCTGGGCTCGATCCCCAGCCCCCAAAAGGAAAGATCCCGGAAAAAGCGATTTAAAAAATTACCTGCAAGTTAATGTCCGGCGTGGCTTTCTCGCATTTGTAGGCCAGGATGGGCGGCAGCCCGATGCTGGGCAGCGTCCTCAGCGGGGAGTCGAACAGTGTTATGAAGTCTTCCTGAAACTGGATTTCAGAAAGAGAGGGGGCAGTGTCGGGCTGGACGGCCGTCCGGGGCCTCCGTGGGTGTGGCCTCTGCGGCACACCTACCTCCAGCTCGCACAGGATGCTCAGCTTCAGCTCCTCTGGGTTGATGACCCATTTTCCTGAGGCAAGGAGGGTTTGAAGGGAGGCTGAAAACATGGCACCTGGCACCTGGTGTCCAACCTGTAGACCCTTCCCTCCCCACCCCATCGTGCTTGTCCGCGCGCACGTGCTCAGAACCACACACACGCACGTGCGCGCACACGCACGTGCGCGCACACGCACGATGTCAGCCCCAGGGCCCTTCCAGCACCTTTCCTGGGAAAGCGGGGCCCGCGCCAGGCATCTCTGCACGTGCGGCTCACCGAACGTTCTAGAGATGAGCGTCTCTGTCTCCCTGGAAGTGACGTCTTCGCGCTCTTCTTTTTCTTCCTCCTCCTCTTCCTCTTCCTCTTCTTCTTCCTCTACCGCTCCTTCAAAAAATAAGCACGTGTGTGTATCACCAGTCTTGACGATGTGCAAATGAGTTAACTGTGCCCCACGACGAGTCTCCGGGAGCAGGAAGAGCCCTTGTGCTCGTTTTCTTTCAGTTTTGCCATTTCCACACTTTCTCACACAGTATCTGCGACAAGGGCAGGTCTTTCCCTGCTGTGCGGGGCTCTGGGCGGCACCTGGGCCTCCCGGCCCCCGGGCGCTGTGTGTGCTCACAACCCAACGCGGGCGGCCTGACTGCTGCAGTGCAGGCGCCTCGGGAGAATCCCACCGCCCGCCCGCCCGCCCGCCGGAAAGCCAGCCGCCACAGCCCGCACCACACTCGCCTGCCGGAGCCGAAGCTGGGCGGCACACACACACACACACAGTGTGCGCACACACAGGGCTCATGAGGTCATGATGCACACGTACACACACAATTCAGCGAGCTTGTGCACACACACGCCCTGGTGCAGTGCGCTCCTCACCCAGCACGGTGGCCGTCTGGCCTCCGGCAGGAACGCAAGGCCAGCTCCCTTCTTCCAGCCCGAGCAGGCCCAGGCCTCCCCCAGCAAGACCCCAGAGCGCAGCCGCTTACTCGCAAACAGCTTCCCATAAAGCTCCCGCAGCCAGCTCTCTTCCGTCTGTGTGGACATGGAAATGCCGGGACACACACGCCGGTAGACGTTCCTGGAATGCAGACTCAAGGTGAGCGTGAGGCATGCGCCCTCGGCAGCAGAGGCCGACGGGGAGAGACTCCATAGCAAGCGCACCTACAAGGCCCTGGTGCTGCTTTCTGTGAAATGTTCTCTTCCACGTCTGTTGGGTGGAGTGCAGTGTGCGAGCTCTGTGCACGTGTGTGGGCGTGGGGCGCTGGGATTTAAGTCAGTGTCTCGCACACGTGGGGCGTGGGGCGCTGGGATTTAAGTCAGTGTCTCGCACACGTGGGGCGTGGGGTGCTGGGATTTAAGTCAGTGTCTCGCACGCATCGGGCAGGTTCTTGAGCTGTGCCCACAGGCCTGACATTCTGGGTTTTTTCTTTTATAAACAACGCTGTGTGTTTCCCTCGAGGACCTGCTGGCTCATAGGAGGCTGTTGGTGGCCGTGGGGCAAACACTTGAGCTTAAGTTAACACTCATCATTCATGGTGGTTTTACTGCTTTCTAAGTGGTCTGGTCTCTGCACTGCCGTTTTTTCAGGGATATAAGGGGCTCACGTTCAGAGTGGGCCCATCTTTGCCTGACTCCGGTCCAGACCGCCTTGGTGCTTGGTGCTTGGTGCATTGCATGGGCCAGGTGCTGTTTTTCAGTTCTGAAATGACCGTAGTAGGTGAGGGACTGTGCTGCGGAGACCTGAGCGGGTCCTGTGTACCCGGCCTCGGGAGAACCAGGGCTGAGTGCCAAGGTGTTCTAGAAAAGTCCCTAAGCAGCGCTGTGTGTGGTCCCCGGCCGCCCCAGTGAAAGGGTCAACAGCATGGAGGGCGCCTTTACTCACGCCTCTGCCTCAACTCACACTCGAGGTGGTTTCTGGGATTCCATGTGAAGATGGAGGATGGTTACAACACTCACACTTCTGAGAACTTAATTCCTAGTGGGGACCGCTCACAGAACCTTGGCGGAGGCCAGCAGCACCGCACCGTTCCGGGGAGCGAGGAGCCCGGGACCACGGAGACGCCAGAGCCTCCAAGCTGCTTCCCCCACCTCTGAAGTCAGCCCTGTCTCAACCTGAGCCGTCAGAAGGCAGTGAAAAATGGGAGCCGAGCCAGCCCGGGTTGCACTGAGAGCGTTTCTTCAAAAAACACACGTTCACCAAATTCATCAAAGAGCGCCTTCCCGTGGATCTATTTTTAACAGCAATTTTTAGTGAGATTTATGAGACGTTAAAAATCAGATCCAAGAAAGAGAGGCTCCGTGGACTTGGGCTCTAACAGAAGGAGCGCTAAGTCAAGACAGCCGCTGGTGCCGGGCGCGGGCGGCTCACGCCTGTCATCCTGGCCACACAGGAGGCCGAGATCTGAGGATCGCGGTTCAAAGCCAGGAAACTCCGTGAGGCTCTCATCCCTAGTGACTCCCCCGAGTGGAGGGGGCTAGGTGTGGGGGCCACATCTCCACTCCTAGTGTGAAAACGGAGGACCGCAGTCCCGCACAGCCACCAGGAAGACCAGCCTCCAAAAGGGCCAAAAAGGGCTGGAGGTGTGGTTTGGCAGGAAAGTGCCGATGGTGCCCGAATTCACACCCTGATCCGGCAGTCACGCCCTGGGCCCCCGGAGAGCTCCAGGGCGCTAATGGAAGTTGTCCTGAGTGCGGCCTTTCACGCAGGTTACATCAAGAACGAAGGTTGAAGGCTACGTGAAGGCAAGAATGTAGACATCTGACTCTGGGAGAAAGTCATGAAGAAATCACCTGAAGAGGGCTGGGAAGGTGGCTCAGTGGTAGAGCACTTGCCTTGCATGCCTGAGGCCCTGGGTTCGATTCCTCAGCACCACATAAGCAGAAAAAGCCAGAAGTGGCGCTGTGGCTCAAGTGGTAGAGCACTGGCCTTGAGCTGAAGAGCTGAGGGACAGCGCCCAGGCCCAGAGTTCAGGCCCCACAACCAACAACAACAAAGTCACCTGAAGAATTTCTCCAGCAAAATGAAAGATGTAAGAGAAAGAACCCGCAGGGTGGGCTAGGAAGATGTGTTGCTGGGCTCACCCCGGAAAAAGTGAAAACAAAACAGAGACAAGTTTTATGGCCGTGACTTTCTGGTCCATGGGCCTGGTTATATTGTTGGTGCGTGCGTGTGTGCGTGCATGCGTGCTGGGGCTTGTAATCAGGGCCTGGGCGCTGTCCCCGAGCTTTTGTGCTGAAGCCCCCCTTCTAGATTTTTGTGGTTCATTTGTTGGTAAGTCTATGGGTTTTCGTGTCCCGGCTGGCTTGAACTGTGACCCTCAGACTCAGCCTCCTGAGCATCTCGGATGACAGGGACAAATGAAAATGTGTGAGATAAAATCACTCTGTGTAAGCTTAAGAATTTAAACATTGCTCATAAAGCAAAGTTGAGGGTGGCCGTTCCCGCCTGTAATCCCAGCACATGGGCAGCTGGGAGGCCAGGGATGGACTGCCAGTTTGAAGCCATTTTGGGGTAGGTGATGAATTTGAGGCCAGCCCAGGCGGGGAGGTGGGGGCAAAAGAAAAAAAAAGCCAAGAAACAGCCAGAAGGCAGTCTGTGGGAGCGGCGTGCACATTCCCAGGAAGGTTGGAGACCTCCAAAGACGTTTGTGCTCAAAGTACTTCCAGGCTAATCACAGGCCACCTCCGACCTGCCGCTTCCTCTCTCTCTCTCCACGGTGCCTTTGGCCAGCAGAGCCGTGTTCCGAGCTCGGGCGGGTGCTGCCGTCCACAGTGCTCAGGAGTCAGCGGATCCCGTGTTCCGAGCTCGGGCTGGTGCTGCTGTCCACACAGTGGATCCCGGGTTCCGAGCTCAGGCAGGTGCTGTTGTCCACAGTGCTCGGGGGTCAGCGGATCCCGTGTTCTGAGCTCGGGCTGGTGCTGCTGTCCACACAGAGGATCCCATGTTCCGAGCTCGGGCAGGTGCTGCTGTCCACACGCTCAGGGGCAGCGGATCCCGTGTTCTGAGCTCGGGCAGGTGCTGCTGTCTACAGTGCTCAGGAGCAGATCCCGTGTTCCGAACTCGGGCGGGTGCAGCTGTCCACGCACTTGGGGGTCAGTGGATCCCGTGTTCCAAGCTGTCCACACGCTCAGGGGTCAGCGGATCCCATGTTCCGAGCTCGGGCAGGTGCTGCTGTCTACAGTGCTCAGGGGTCAGCAGATCTCGTGTTCCGAGCTCGGGCAGGTGCTGCTGTCCACGCGGTCAGGGGTCAGCAGATCCGTGTTCCGAGCTGTCCATGCGGTCAGGGGTCAGCAGATCCCGTGTTCCGAGCTCAGGCAGGTGCTGCTGTCTACAGTGCTCAGGGGTCAGTGGATCCCGTGTTCTGAGCTCAGGCAGGTGCTGCTGTCTACAGTGCTCAGCGGATCCCATGTTCCGAGCTGTCCACACGGTCAGGGGTCAGTGGATCCCGTGTTCCGAGCTCCGGCGGGTGCTGCTGTCCATGCACTCGGGGGTCAGCGGATCCCGTGTTCCGAGCTGTCCCCGCGGTCAGGGGTCAGTGGATCCCGTGTTCCGAGCTCGGGCAGGTGCTGCTGTCTACAGTGCTCAGGGGTCAGCAGATCTCGTGTTCCGAGCTCGGGCAGGTGCTGCTGTCCACGCAGTCGGGTCAGTGGATCCCGTGTTCCAAGCTCGGGCAGGTGCTGCTGTCCACGCGCTCAGGGCAGGGCATGTGTCATCCTCACGGCCCGGTGAAGGATGAAGTCGGGTCAGAACTCTGCCTTCGCTGCTTCAACGTGTCCACCAGGGTACAACTTCTTTTGTTTTTTGACAGGACTGGGGTTTGAACTCACGGCCTCGGGACCCTGGCTCCTTGGTGTTAGCTGTTTGTCAGACTGCATCTTGTTTTATCCAGCAGGCCTCAGACCCCACTCCTGTGCATGCCTCTTGCTTAGCCAGGATTACAGAACAGTGCTGCTGCGCCAGCCTTAGTTGCTGAAATGGGTCTTGTTCTCATGCCTGAGCTAGCCTAAAACCGTGCTTCGCCGTGCCTTCTGCCTCACCAGCTGCGGTGCGGGTTAAAAAATATTTGAGGGGGGCTGGGAAGGTGGCTCAGTGGTAGAGCGCTTGCCTTGCATACATGAAGCCCTGGATTCGATTCCTCAGCACCACATAAGCAAAAAGAAAAAAAGCCAGAAGTGGCGCTGTGGCTCAAGTGGTAGAGCGCTAGCCTTGAGCTGAAGAGCTGAGGGACAACACCCAGGCCCAGAGTTCAGGCCCCACGATCGGACCCCCCCCCAAAAAAAAACAAAAAACTTGAGGATGGGAAGGTGGCTCCGTGGTAGAGTGCTTGCCTCACGTGCATGAGGCCCTGGGTTCAATTCCTCAGCACCACATACACAGAGAAAGCCAAAAGTGGCCCTGTGGCTCAAGTGGTAGAATGCTAGCCTAGACAAAAAGAAGCTCAGGGACAGCGCCCAGGTCCTGAGTTCAAGCCCCAGGACTGGCAAAACAAACCAAACCAAAATTGTGTGTGTGTGTGTAAGCTGTAAATGCCTGGATTCTTTTCGTGTATTTCATAATACGATTAAGAGATACCATTCTCAGCTTCTAGAAACTAACATGAAAGTTGGAAATGTTTTCTTACCTGTCTAAACCTACTTCGGACATGTCTTTCCTAAATCTTTGAAATATCTTAGGGAAACCTGTTGAGTGAAGCATTTCAGAGTTTAGACATTCCTCCTAACCCAGCAACTTTCAAGAAGCCTCGCTGTCTAGGATCTGTGGGGCAGGATCTGAAGGCGGTTTTGCCTGAGTGTGTGTGTGAGAGAGAGAGAGAATGCGTGTGTGCACGTGCTGGGGTAGGAAGCAGAGTTGTGCTAATCACAGGACAGCAGCAAGGACTGAACGAGGCCCAAGTACCTCTTCGGCTCCCTCCCTGACCGTCTGCTGCGCCTGTCTCTAAGGACCGGCCTGGCTGTGCCTGTAACCCCGGTTCGTGGAGGACCACGTCCAGGCAGCGTCCACACGCTACACATGGGCCAGGCCAGCAGCTCTGCGATCGCAGCAGCTTCAGGGCTCGGTCTCCAGAGGAGCTGGGGTGACGGGCCTGGGCCCCGGGCCGTGCTGCTTATTACAGGCCCAGATGGAACCGCGAGATGGACTCGGGGTGGACAGGCGGTGGACAGGCTCCCAGACCCGGCTGGGGGCACAGGGCCCCGCCCCCACCCAGGTCTCGGGCTGCCCCAGGCCCCAGCCCTGGCCCCCAAGTCCCCCAGCCCTTCCCTGCCCCCCTCCCTTCGCCCCCCCCAGGACGCCAGGCTGGGGCTCCCCCCGCACCCCCGTACTCGAGCCCGAGGAGGCCAGGCTGGGGCGCCCCCCGCACCCCCGTACTCGAGCCCGAGGAGGCCAGGCTGGGGCTGGCCGAGCCGCTGGGCGTGGAGCTCCAGGCCGGGCTGGACGGCGCGGAGCTGACGCTCGGGCTGACCACGCTGACCAGGCGCGGCCGCGTCCAGTCGTCGTCCTCGTCGCCGCTG